GGGCGCGTTCGGCGCTTATTATTCAGCCGACGTGCGAAGAAAGAGCGTACCTAACCTCCATTTTATCTAAAAATAACTAAAATACAAAGTAGGAAGCAACCTAAGTGTTTTGTAATGAAGCTGATTCTCGTTTCTAACCAGAGATATTTTATGATTAATGATATCGGTTATAGAAGCAAAAGTAGTCAAATCTACAGAAGTAGAATAATCTAAAGAACTAGTCCAGATAACTTATAATACGTGGCACGAATGAGTCGGCTCGACCGCGGAAGTACTTCGCCCACACAAAATACCTGCGTAGAATAGTAGCATAATGCTGGTGTATTTCGTATGGTGAGTAACGAGGAAGTGACCCTTCTTTATAGGCAACGAAGCAATTCATCTTATTCCTCAAGTGGAATACACACCGGCACTGAGATTCTTATTCGAGGATAGATCTAGGTGTCTGCGTGCCGCAATATGTACGTAATAAAAAATGCTCGCATTAAGTGAGGTGAGGGTAACATGGTCAATTTAAGCTTTGCCACACTGTAAAACTAAAACTAAGAGGAGGACAGAGACAAAAACACAAAGTTGTATACTGTAACTAATATATTAAGAAAAAAATTGCAAACAAACCTTGGCAATAATTACGTACACTTCGAAAAATCAACTTAAAAAACTAACTTCACTGTACCATACTAATATCGATTAAAACTATTATAATAATATCAAATGTCAAAATGGCGTCGATAAAGCAGTGCCCTTTTGACCCTTTATTATTTGATTGACCGATAAAGAGCTATCGTATCACGAAGTCATCTATGTAAAAAGGCTGTAGTTTTAGAGTTACAAGAAAGTGATCATATTGACCGGATAACCGGATATTACCCTCATGTACTATAGTCATAATTATAGAACAAAAAATCACAATTACACATATTATATCTAGCCCAATACTGATCCACATATGAAAATAATAAAATAAAATGCAAACATTGCCAAAGTGTGGCCTCGGTATTAGATTCACAACTAGCAAACAATATTTGACGTTCCATAAGGCAACAAATTAACAATGAATAACCGAAGTTAATTTTACTTAAGTATTGCTATGCCAACAAATACCAACAAATTCCTTATTATAAAGTTACTAATTCTCGGTCCTAATTAAGAGCCTGTGACCTATGCATATTGTAATAGGCTAGTTAACATCAGGACGTCAAACACTTCATTCCCCACACACCCATGGTGTGTTGTAAAGTGCCTGAAACGTCAGGAGTTAAAGAGCTTTTCATGGTTTTTTAATTTTTTTGCGCGGAATTTTAATAAAAAGCTGTTATTTGAACGTTACAAACAGACTCTTCAATTTTATTTAAGTATATAGATAGTGAGGGGTTGGCAATTAGCCATAATTGTAATATTTCTATATCACCCGACTGCGGCCAGTCGGTGATAAATAAATGATACATGTGTACATCATATCCGTTTCTATGTCTTCCAGTGACTCCTCAAGTATGTAGTTGTTGGATTTGGTCAAAATATTTCAATCGATTTATCATTATTACGCGGGTAACAAGATGTATATTATGATGTAGTCGTAAATAAAGATGCGGACATAAAATTGTTAAAACTTGCGATTTACAAATATTTCAACGCGTTTTTATTAACTCACTTTCTTATTTGTCTCTCTGTCCATGTGTCTGTCGTTTCGAAGGAATCTTGCAACTCGATCATTTCGAGCAACTTTCCCGATTAGCCAGGGACTTAAAAGTTTGGACAACAATGTAGGAATATGAAACGTGGTATATTATTTTTAAATTCATAATCAAGAAAATTATTTGTTTATTTTTAAGCAAATGTATCACACGAGAGGTATTAATGAGTGCATTGACATACGTTTACTTTGTACATGAATATATATTAACATTAGTAAGGTTACTGCAAGCGGGTTATTGCTTTTAATTAGATGTGCAACGAACATTCGGTTCGTATTCGGCCTATTCGGCTACTTTAATCGTATTCGGTCGAATATCTAGGTACCATTCGGCCGAATACCGAATACTTACTTTTAAGTAAGTATTCGGTATAGTAGTTGTATTGTAGTCAGATAATTGGTAAAATGAAAGTTTTTTCTGGTCTATTAAAGTAGCATAGATACAAAATCAACTTTCTGTTATAAATTAAAAAAGAACATCAGATAATGTTTGACGGAATTATCGTAATTAAAGTGGAAGATATTACCGCAGAAAGACTAATTTTTCGTCATCTAAAATTAGTAGCTTACTCCTTTTTTTCTAGTAGACAATTCCAGCTTCAGAGAATAGACGCTCTGAAGAATAAACATTACTTTCTTTCCGGCCGAATACTTGTGCCTTTTTTTTCGGTTAATTCCAGGAAGTCCGCAGAATATTCGATATTCGGTGTGTGTTACAATTCGTTGCAAGTCTAGATTTAATGATACTTGCACATTGCTGACACTATTTCGTTTTTATATAATCTGTCTCTATATCCGGGTATTGGCTTGACTTGCGCGCCACCTTGACTTACCTTTATTGATTTAGTCAAACGAGATTATTTTTTGGCTTCTCTCGGGTTTCAAGTTCATTAGGTATTCCTATTATGTTTCGATTGACGCGTAATTTATTGACATAGCAACCGTATTCTGGTTTCTTTGCATTGATAGATATACCGAAATTTTATTGCTTAATCTTTTGCGACGTTTATTTTCAGTACCTGGATGACCGAGCTTTGCTTGGTTTTTTTTTTTTGGAAATCGTGTCTTTTATAAATTATATTTAGATACACATTACGTATTGATGAAATATGAATAATATTTTTTGATCTTACCGACATAATAGAAAAAAAACTGAACTGGTACCTACCTATTTGAATAAAAATTATGAGTGCAATAAGTTTACTTTAAATTTTCGTGTTTTTAAAAATATACTAAAAAAGGGCTCGAAATAATAGATTTTCTCACCTAAGAAGGGAACTGGAAAAAAAAGGAATAAAAGTTGGACCGAAGACAGGATTAGAACCAGGGTACTACGCTTTCGGATACGCCCGATATCCCACTTGAGCTATTATAATCAATAACGTATTGCTAAAATTTACCTTCTTATTCTAATGATATTGTAGCAGTTTTTCATTGCTTAAAACACGGATAAAACGACATTTTCTAAAAATGAATCATAGCTAGATCGATTTATTGCCCCCGAAACCCACTGGACACTATATACAAGAATTGCTCGTTTAAAGGTATTAGATAGATTTTGTTTTTATTATACGCTTGTATAAAGTGGTTTTATTTAACTTTTTGGCGGTTTCGGAAATTAAACGTGTCTCCTTGTTTTTTCAGCCCCAAAAGTCTGATGGACGTGGTCTTCTACATTTTTTTTATAGGATAGGGTGACAAACGAGCACAAAGTCCACCTGATGGTAAGTGATTGCTGTGTCCCATAGACATCTACATCTATCCTCAGTTAAGAATACCTCGTAAGGATTGAGGTGGAATGCCTCGTTTCCAGTAAAAAAGGATCTCCAGATCTCTATAAATACACAATACGAAACACAGCAGTATTAAGCTGCTATTTTACGCTGGTATTTTGTGAGAGCGTGGTTCTTTCCCGGTCGAGCCGACCCATTCGTGCTACAACCATAATATCGTCACGCTTAGCAGGCGGTCTCTACCAAAGTCTCGTACCATTTTTTATGACTTGTCACTGCTTCTCGTCTTCGGTCTAGATTATTTACGCTTGGAGATATCGGTATAGTTGTAATCATGAAGCTAAAGTGATCTTACTGTCCGCCTGATAGTAGGCGGCTACTGTAACCATAGAGACCTCCAACCAACTTCAATCAAGGATGAATGCAGACGCGTTTTCACCTCTGAGGACTTAGATGGAATGAACTGCTACCACACTCATAATCTGTAAAATTAGCTCTAGTAATACTGGCTCCTCGAAACCTGTATACAATAGTGCGAGATCTGCTATACGGTGGCAGATTTAGGCAGGATGGTGGTATTTACCCCGACGGACTCCAGGCAGAAAAGAGTGCCACCTAGTAAAAGCTTGCACCGAGAGCATGTTACGTTAATACAAGGGCGATAAACGCAAACTATACTTATTTTTGTGCATCTAAGTTTTATTCTACAATGTCCCAACGTTATAGTCTTACTAACCGTAAAAGGAGGAGAGAGCTTGGAACGATAGTCGAGACGATGGGGATACCCTTGAATCTTCTTTACAGATGACTCTTGCGCTTAACGCGCAACTGATGAGTTCCATTGTCCTAAGAAAAAACGAAAGTCACCTCACAAAAAACCTTTAGATTTGGCTCGTACATCATACTCCAAGTCTAGCAGGTTCATGCCTCGAATCACTTACCGATTATCCGGTTGAAGTTTTTAATAAATTACCTCCAAATACTAGAAATGAAAAAAATACTCCCATTTACTAAGAAAGCAAAAAATATTTAGTTTACGACGGGCTGTTTTCCGCAACTCCACAACTGAAAATGAATCCTAATAGCCGTACGTGTAATGTACATTTCAGAGTGTAACCTGAAGAAGACATTCGTGTGGCACAACTGCGACAACATGTTATGTATGAGTATATGGCCTATGAAAAGGCTGTAAACTAAAACTGATCTTAATACTGTTAAGGCTTATTTAATAATATGTTCATTTACGGTTCAAAGTTGTATTCCACCAGTAAGACCACTTAAAATAATCATAAAAGCGTATGTGTAAGGTACATTATACGAGTAGAGTGAGTTGGCAGACGCTAAAAGGGTCTGAACGCGAGCGCTAGAGAAGACAATCGAGTAGTACCAACGCCGCGATCACATTTTATGTAAGACAAAATAAAGGTTATATACTCGATCTGATCTTATTACTGTACAATTAGGGTTTATTTTATAACGACAAAGTTCATGTCCGGCAGTACCACAACTGAAAATGAATCCTAATAACCGTACGTGTAAGGCACATTTTAGAGTGTGAGATCGTGCGTGTGCAGGCGCGCGACGGGTCGGAACGCGAGCGCTGGGTGCGCGCGCTGGAGGAGACGATCGCGCGGCACGGGCGCCGCGAGCGCTGGTCGCGCGCCGTGCCAGCGCCCGCACACCGCCACTGCGACCTCGAGCGCCGCGTCGCTGAGGCCGACGCCTACCTGCAGATCATGATCGAACTCGTCTCGGTGAGTGGAGCTTCAAGCTGCCTTATGCTTTATGTTTCAATTCCTTTTGTAATCGACGCCCGTTATTTTGCGATTCATGCAGAATATAAGGTTAGCAAACGAGCACACATTTCACTTGATGGTAAGTGGAAGCTGTGGTCCATAGAGATTTACATATCTACTCAATTAAGAATCAAAATGCAAATGCCTTGAACCTGAAGACTAAGATAAAATGCCTCGTTTCCAGTTAAAAGAGTAACCTTTTCTCTATATTCCCTACACGAAACAGAGCCGCTATTTTACACTGGTATTCGGTGTGTTTGTTACAAAGTTCCGAAATATAACATTATATGTAGAATAGCTCCTAACTACCACTCGGAGCGTTGGCTGCTCTCCGGGTTGAACAACTTACCCGGCGGGAGATCTCCCCTTTTCCTTCCACGGCCAAACCGTAATAGACCACAGATGAACTAGGGTCTCATCTATAGTAAAAAGTAAGTAAAGTTACAGCCTATATACGTCCCACTGCTGGGCACAGGCCTCCCCTCATTTATGAGAGGGTTTTTAGGGCAAGGAAGTGTCCGCCACGCTGCCCCAATGCGTGTTGGCGAACTTCACATGTCTTCGAAATATTTTTTTTCTTATTCCTCAAACATGCAGGTTTCCTGACGATGTTTTCCTTCACCGCCGAGCACGTGGTAAATCAGCACTTAAAATTGCAATTAACAATTTCATTGGTGCCGGCGGGGATCGAACCCGGGTTTCTCGCGTTCTGTTATATTTACAGCGAGCGTTAACCGTCTGAGCTACCACGGCATTGTCTACAGTCATCGGTCTATGTTTTTTTTGCTATATACACACATTTGTTGTACAATGATTGTATGTTTTATACGATTACTGCCATCTTTCGGAGGCTATCAGAACGTTCTGATAAATCCCATCTGCCTTTTTCGGCACATGCGACGAAATGTATGCTATCTCAGCATAATACTTTTTAATGAATTTGCTACTGTAATAAAAATGATATATATATATATATATATATATATATATATATATATATATATATATATATATATATATATATATATAGATGTAGGTGTGCTTGCTATATACACACATTTGTTTTAGAGCAGAGTAGTGTAAATGTATATTTTTTCGTTTCTTTCCAGAAAATGAGCACACGTGTGTCGGAATTGGGGGATCCACAAGAAAAAATTAAGGGTCAAGTTATTTTAGACCATTCCAATGTAAGTGATAGCACTATGTACGTGTTTAGCACATATATAGCACATCGACGTAAATCTTTGTTTGTATTGTATATTATATGTGTGTAATAAACCACAGATACAAACAGTCGTTCTAAGACATATTGTATCTAATAATCAAATCCCCGACTTCAGAAGCTGTTATGTGGAAATTTTATTTTTTAAATTTGGGATGTGTGGTAACTGGTGATGCATTATTTTAGCTGATTATCATTCATCAATATCTAACGCCTACTTTTTTACTACGCAATGTATGCGACATTCGTAAGGGTCGCTCGGTCGGCTAAAACGTTGTGAATTGAATCGCACAGAGAGCGAATATTAATTTTTGGTTCGATAATATTCAAAAACTGAATGTAGCTGGACTAACTATGACATTGGGACGTCAAACATCTCAGGCCCCCCCCCCCGTGACCATGGTTGTTGTAAAGCACCCGAAACGTCGGGATAATAAAAATAAGTAAAGTAGTAATAGCGATAAAATCCTTAAACAATAGTTTTATTCAACGTGTAGTGTTCGCGTTAATTTAAGAAATCATTATGTGGACCATAACCAAATCTAAGAAATACATTTTGGCAGCTGTCACATTTTTTGGCCTAGGCATTCCAACTGAAAAATCCGTAAGTATAATATTCGATTCTTAAGAGAAATCGATATCGATTCTTTAGAGTTAGAAATCATTTAGTTTTATCTACATTAATACAAGAATAAACTAAAAAATATCACTCAAAACAAAATTTATCGCTTTCTTCCTATTTATTGCTTGTTGTTCATTTATAGAGATAAAAATATATATATTAAAGAATGCACTAAAATAAAAATTAAATTTATTTAATCACTTTCACTACAACTACTTAAGCAGAAGTGGGTCTCATAGTTGTTTACATTTATTATTATTTGATTTTCTTTAATGTATTCAAAATGAATGTCTGTTTCATATATTATTTCACTTTGGCACAGTCATGTCTTGTGAAATAGTTATATTTTCTATAAATCCTCCGGCGGATCCCAAACGGAAAACTATAAGGCTCCTTTTCCCAATAGCACGTGTTGTCTGGCCATGTCAATGTGTGCGGCACAGTGTTGTTGACGTTTAGCCATGTTTCATCAATGAATATAACGTTGTCTCCATTGCTTATATTTTTAATTTCTCGTAAAAATGTTATTCTTTGCGCTCATGTCTTAAAATAATTATTTTGCATGTGTCAATTTTTTTGTATCGGAAGCCAAATATTTTTCAAATGGTTCTAAACTTACTCGCAAGTGCGCCCCATTGAGATTCACAGAAATTATAAAGAAATTAGACTTTTTTAATTTATGATACCTACATAATATTTATGCAAATCTAAAAATTAAAATTTAAATAAACAAATAATAAATTAATAAAATATAAACATTAGATTATTTGTATATTTTTATCGATTATTCACATTAGCATGACATATCATTGAAACAACGTAAAGCATAAAAGTTGATTCTGGTAAAATTTTTTATATTTTAGTTTATGTGAAAGATTCAAATTTAAATTAGTGCAAAATAATTATACATGTTGTAATGAAATATATATAACTTCATAGTTATTTGGATTTACTTAAAAGGTTATTTTAAATCGTGTACTCACACGTGTGCTTCTACAAAGTTATTGCAAAATAATTAATGTGAAACATCAAAAGATATTTCTTAGATTTGATTGAGGATAATCACGTTGTTTTAAAACAAATATGGCGGTCGAAAAATGGTAATAACATGCAACAAAAAAAGTTTTACTTTTGACGAGATAAAATGGTGTTAATGAGTACACTAAAGCCGGGTTATTTATCTAGATATTTAAAAGATAATTTACCTTAGCTACGACCGCTTTCAAATATTGTTTTTTTTTTTTCAGGTGATGTTAGACAACATAAAACATTCCATAGTGCTTCTACAGATAGCTAAGGTATGCTGCATTTTAAATTTATTTTTAACCATTCTAAGCCAGAGCTTAACTACTCCCACCTGATGGTAAGTGGTGATGTAGCCTCTGATGGTGAAGCGCACTGACTTAGCAAAAGCCTGTTCACGTTGCCTTGAAGACATTGTTGTCTACTCTATGCATCCGATACAATGTTGGCATTGTTATCGCATGTAAAGACAGACGCTGGCAACTTATTCCATTCCTTTGCTTTACGCATGGCCAACGATGTAGCAAACCGTGTGGTTCGAATGCGTGCTAAGTCAACAACGAAAGGTTGGAGACTGGCCGAACGTTTGTTCGTCTGATAGTAGAAGGGAGAGGGAGGAATTAAATTATGCAATTCCTGCGCACACTCCAAAATGCGTCCTGTAGAATACCGACAGGCTGGCTACTTAACGCCTGTGTTCGAGGATGGTAAGATTAGTTTTAACTAGATTCGGGTCAATATTTTAATTTATAGAATCAGACGTTACTTTTCGGAAATTCATAATATTAAAGTTGGTAAGAATTACTTCGCCTATATCCGCTCAATAAAATAAAATAATGTGTCTTACCTAGTTTGCATGCTAACACCACTTGGAAGTAGTGGTGCTGGGATTATTGGTGACGGGATTGGTTCACGCAATTGAGAGAGGGCGGGAGGTGCTCTTCAAACTAGGTACGACACATCATTTTATTTTATTGAGCGGATATGTGCGAAGTAAATCTTAACAACTTTAATAGCTCTTTATATTACTTTAAACTTGCAAATAGAGCAGTTTATCTGCAGTCACGTATATAACTGTACTAGTTACCCCTATTATTTATGAAGGAAAGCCTCCATATCTGCCTGGGCATCCCCCTGGACACGCACCAACCTCTTACGTGTCTCCGGAAACATTTGTGTTTCGGTTTGAGGGGTAAAACGTCTATAATAATGACGGGCTGTGAGACACTTAAGATTACAACGCATTTGTGGCATTTTTGTCCGAGGGTGTCTGCTGACGTCAATGTGTTGCTGCTAGTTTTTGTGACTTCGAAATTCCTATACGATTCCAGCAGTTATTATCTTTTAACTGTAATGAGTGACCTTGCCGTGTGGTTATGGCGTAAGAGAATCCGTCCAGTTCATTACGTCTCGTGGATTTCGTAAAAAAGGGAGTATGGGATATACCATAAGATCTAATGGCTTCGCTTTCCAAGAGGGGAGATTAACTCACATCAACGTCATCAACAAAAAGTATACTAATTAACATTCACTCGACGATTAACAACAGATTAATTTAAATTTTTTATATATATTTATGTTATATATCATATATCAAAGAACCCGGCAAAAATATTTTGAAAAAATCTTGTGGTTTTTCCTTATATTCTCGACTGAGTGCATAAGGACTTGGTCCTCGTGCGAGTACGCAATGAGATTATTAAATAAAAGGAGTTTAGTTATATTATCTTTAACCAACTGTTATTTTACTTAATTGTTACATTTAAGTTAGTTTTTTGTATAATCAAGTGTTTTTTTTTTAATTAAGTATGTCACGGTTAAGGTACATCTGCTTGAATCGCATCGCATGGATTTTATACGTAAAAGTCTTCGTAAGTCTACGTGAACTTTTAGGGAGCCGATGAAGCAAAACGAACTTTTATTAGTGGAATCTTTTCCGATATTAAGTGTATTTTCTCTTTACAGAACACCGTAAATCCCGTAAATGGTGTGTATACAGGTCCAACGAGCTCGTCACAATTGCATATCCAAGAAGGTAATCCATTATGTAACGAACATTCAAATTTTTTTTTCAGGAATATTGTGTTACAAGTTCTCATTATTGTTTTTCTTTATAGAATAAGGGTGACAAACTTGCACTCTGTCCACCTGATGGTAAGTGGATGCTGTGGCCCGTAGACATCTATTTATCCTCAATTAAGATTAAAAATGCAGATGCGTTGTCACCTCTGAGTACTGAAATGGAATGCCTCGTTTCCAGTAAAAAGGGTCACCGGTTCTCTACACTCACCATACGATACACAACATCATTGAGCTGCTATTTTACGCTGGTATTCTGTGAGAGCGTGATCCTACCCCGGTCGAACCGACCCATTCGTGTTGCAACCACAATATACGAGTAGGAGTGCAGCGTGGCTCTGCCTCGTAAAGAAATAATGTACTAGTTCCCCATAAGGAATGTTATATTTGAGTATTTCTACATCAATAATTCATGTATTTCTTCATCAGTCCATAAAAGTCCTCTGGGTATTGGTGCCACCCGTTGTAGGCAAATCCGTGCGGCTTTTAGCTCATACAAATGTATTTCTTTATGTATAATAATATAAGAGCTAAATTTGTTTTTTTTTTTTTTTTTTTTTTCCCCCCCTTTTTTTTTTAGTTTGTGGGACAATGTTTGTCTCTACCACTGCCAATTCTATACTTCATTTTTTCCCATAAATTAATTATTATAAAAAGTAGGATCCTTCAAAAATTACTAAATCTGCTCAATTATACCGTTGTTATTAAACATCCAACAATTATCACATAATTTTTTAATAATAGAACATATTTTTTTAGAATAAGGTTGACGAACGAGCACCCACTACATGGTTATAGTGGAAGCCGTGGTATGGGCATGGGATGACATCTACACATATCCTTGATTAAGTATCAAAGTATTTAACCGTTGTCATCCTGAGGACTAAGATAGAATACCTCGTTTCCATTAGAAACGGTCTCCGGATCTCCGCCTCACCATACGAAACGTAGCCTTAAACTGCTATTTTATGCTGGTTTTCTGTAAGAGTGTGGTCCATTCCCGGTTAAGCCGAACCATTCGAGCTTTAACCATAATATAACTTCAGCACGGCTCAACCACATATTAACCTATACGGACATAGCCACATTCCTTCCAGGCCAGGCCACAATTGGGCCAGTTTTGGTGCAGAAAACGGAAATACGGAATGATGATTTTGTCAATTTTTATAGATTATACCTACATACAGTTTGAGCTGCAATTGTGCCTCTCAGTCGCTTGGCTTTGTCGTCCGGCCACAACGCGAAATCGATAAATCGTTAAAAATCTATTTATCTTTCTTACAACCCTGATTTCCTCTCGCTACACTAAGCAGAGGGATAGATATTCGCTGTACCAGACGTCTTGTACTTTTGATATTGCTCCCCGCCACCAGTTTGGGTATTTCATGTCTGGTATTCATAATCCGTCTACAACAACCTATCGAAGTCTGGCCTACCAGACTATCAAACATTGGCCTACACACAGATATGCTCACAGGGGAGGGTGGATATTTGCCATAGTTGACATGCTGGACAGACGGGCTTGCAACTTCAGTGTTTATTTTCTAGTCGGTATTGGGAAGACGCTGCTGCTTATCTCCTCTCTCTCTCTCTCTCTCTCTCTCTCTCATCTAGTTTGTTTCCCTCTTACTCCTGTCATCTCTTACTACACCTAGAGGACGATGTAGCGTAGTGTTTGTCTTACACCGCCACCACAAAGTTTACATCTAGGGTATGTATATATTAACTGTTTTTTATGATTACAAAAAACTTTGCGGTCGTTAAGGAGTATGTTAGGGCTGAATTTGAGTGACAGGGTGAGAAATTGTGTAATGAGAGAACTGCGTGGTTTGCAAGATGATGTTGTGATCACGGTTAAAAAAGGAATGCTTCGGTGGTTTGGTCATGTGGAAAGAATGAATGAGGAAAGAGTGACAAAGCAAATTTATGTTGCAGAAGTGAATGGCAGAATCGGAAAGGGACGTCCTAGATGAAAGTTTATCGACCAAATTGTCGATATATTTAAAATGGGCCAAATTAGGAGTATCTTTAACCGACGAGCACGTATGCGTAGGTATATGGATAGGGAGGAGGCCAGAGAGGTGTGTCAGGATCGTGCCAAATGGAGGTTTGTAGTCTGCCTACCCCTCTAGGTGACAAGCGTGAGTGTTTATGCATTTATGTATATAAAAAACTTTGAATGTGTACCCGAGATCCCCGAGCGTCGACCCATTAACGGTAATTATTTACCCGTGGACCAGTTACACTAGTGGTTACAATTCTAATAAAAACTGGATTCAATTTAATTCAACGAACTCGTAATTCCCCTGGTGTTGCAGTTGTACATGGGCGCCAGTGGTCACTCACCATCAGGTGAGCCGCATGCTCGTTTGCCTCCTTTTATATTTTTTATAGAATAAGGGATATAGAATAAACGAGTATACAGTCCCCTAATGGTAAGTAGTTGCTGCGGCCCATAGACATATACATCTACCATCGATTACGAATCAAAATGCAGATGCGTTATCACCCGTGAGGACTAAGATGGAATGCCTCGTTTTCAGTAAAAAGGGTGTCCGGATCTCTACACTCACCATACGAAAAATAGCAGTATTAAGCTGTAATTTTACGCTGGTATTCTGTGAGAGCGTGGTCCTTCCCCGGTCGAGCCGACCCATTCGTGCTACAACTATACTACTGTTATAACTGCAGCATGGCTCTACCACGACCCCTCTCATATAAAAAAAAATAATTACATGTTTATTATTCAAAGAGTACGTAGCCAAATTTAAAACTTAAGTTCAAATATATAAATAAAGATATACCATTCTTGCAGTTTTAGAAAATACGTGTAAGTAAGGCTTATCCTCTTATTTAATTTTGAAATTATCCCAAATTGAATGTGATTTCTGGGCAACAACGTTTCTGCATACCAATCGAACTCTTACGAATGTGTGCGTGCGCAGTAAAATCAGTTAAAATAATGTATTACCACGCATTTAAAAGATAAAAAGGATAGAATATTTGACTGTTTTTTTTTAATTAATTTTTCTTTATCATTTGCCAATATTACTTATTCTGAAACTACTTGGCAGATTTAGCTGATTATTGCGAAATAACCCTGTATAAATATCAATAATGTAGTAGAGCTACGAACAAACAGTACTAATAGAAACATAGATCAAAAGAGTTCACATGTTACAAAGAGTCCAATCTCGTTTACTTGTTTGTCATTTTGACATAATTTGTAATAAAGGTACTCTTTGATTATTTGTATTTGTTTTTTTGAAATTCGGAGTCTTTATGATTCATTGATTTACTTATTGTGATTATTATTTTTAAATTTCTAACATGGAAAACGGCGTAAAAATCATTAATAGAAAAAAAAGTAACGTTATACTACGGAAGTCATCAGTACTATAAGAATACTAATTATAAAAATGAATCCTCTCTTTGAAAATTGTTATATAAAACGGAATATTCCACGGGATCATAACTGTTACTAAAGTGAGTTTTTTATGATCATTTCATTGTTAGTAAAAAATGGTTAAGTGGTAGTACTGGTTTTCGAGGGTTTCGTACTTTTAATTTCTACGTAATGTCGATGGCATAGTTAAAGGGATCGGGAAATCTAACTCTCGCGTAATACTCTGAATGAAAGTAACTTAAACAATGTAACTCTATGTCATAAGAATTCAACTTAGGGTTGGAGTTTCAATAGTTTTCTAATTGTTCTCTTAACTTGTGCCAAAGTAACTTTTTAGATATTATACGTCAATAAGAAACATCCCGGAGGTTTGGGGTCAAGATTTTTAGTATAGGATAATAAGCTTTGTCCATGTAGCGGCGGCGTAAGGGAATCCACTGCCCCTTATCATCCCGAGGGTGTCGTAAAAAGCGACAGTGGAACATGAAACATGAAATGTAGGACGAACATGGTGATCATGTAATGAACACGGCAAACGTTTACATACTGAAAACACAATTAGTCTGATTTGTTTTATAAACTTATGTTTTTTCAAAGTCTCAAAGTATGATTATATCTGTTTATTAGTATGTAGGTTTATACGTAGTACAAGTAGTAACTTAATACTTTGTTTCGAATGGTGTATGTAAAGAACTGAATACCCTTTTTACTAAGAACGCGGCATTCTATCCTAGTCCTCAGGCGTGACTGACAATGCATCTTCGTCTGGACACTGAATCGTGGATAGACATAAATTGATGTAGGCCACAACATACTCTTTGATAGGTGGAATATATGCTCGTTTGCTACCCTTGTTTTATATAACAGTGAACTTTTTCTTCATCATCATTACAGTCCTTCACAAATACACTGCTGAACATAGGCCTCCCCGAGGAATGCCGTAAAGATATACTTAGAAACTTTATCATGAGTAACAAACTGATAATTTTAACTTACAAGTAAAATTAACTTAGTAAAAATTCCAAAGTATCGAATAATAATAACAGGTGTAACAGGTCTACGGGTTTATAAAATTACCTATGGACCGGTTATGCATCGACCCACTGACACTACAGGTAAACTACTGAAAACCTTATTCATACTGTTTACGTTTTCGACAGCTCGTAAAAAGTTCATCAGTGTGGGCTATTACGAGGGTGGATTGAAAAGTACTCGACCTAACACAGATCCATTCAATTCTAAAAATCAAATCTACCCACATTATTTAGTTCAGTTCAGACTAGTTCATTGTGTGAAGTTCGAAACGTGTGCGATAATTAGTTGTGATTTTATAAATTTATTAACAAAGTAATCGGACATAATTTCCGCGAATGAAGCAAATCGAGCAGCGTGCCGTCATTAAGTACCTCCATAAGAAGGGGCTATCATCAAAAGCCATCCATGATGACATGGTCAGTACATTAGGCGATTGTGCTCTGTCATATTCATCCGTCAAAAAATGGATAGCAGAATTTAAGCGTGGTAGAGAGAGTGTGAAAGATGAACCCCGCTCTGGAAGGCCTTCGACGTCAACTACTGACGAAAATATTAAAAAAGTACTTGATTTAATAATGGGAGACCGCAGATTAAAAATTAGAGAGATAGCCGAGATTATAGGCATCTCTTATGAACGAACTCAAAACATCATTGTCAACGAGTTGGGTTTCCACAAGGTGTCTGCGAGGTGGGTTCCGCGACTGCTTTCAGTTGAACAAAAAAAGGACGCGATTGACTATTTCACGCGACTCTTTGGAGTTATTTGAAGCCGATGCAGATGATTTTTTGAATCGTTTTGTTACTATGGACGAAACATGGGTTCATTACTGTACACCGGAAAGAAAACAACAATCAAAACAGTGGAGAAGACCTGGTTCACCACCCCCTAAAAAAGGCTAAGTCGATTTTGTCGGCAAATAAGGTGATGGCTTCAGTATTCTGGGACTCGAAAGGTGTGATTATGATTGATTATCTTGAAAGGGGTCAGAATATAAACTCTGATTACTACTGCACCTTACTACGTCGTTTACGAGAGGAAATAAAAGAAAAACGTCGAGGAATGCTCAGAAGAAAAGTCCTGTTTCATCAAGATAACGCCCGTGTTCACACGTCAGTACAGTCAATGGCTGAAATTCACAACTGTGGCTTTGAACTGTTACCGCATCCGCCGTATTCACCTGATCTGGCACCATCAGACTTCTTTCTGTTCCCTAACCTAAAAAAGCACTTGGGAGGTCAAAGATTTTCGACAAACGATGAGGTCAAAGCAGCTGTAGACGCATATTTTGACTCTAAGGAAGAATCATTTTTTTTTCAACGGTCTAAATGCTTGGAAGGGGAGGTGGCAAAAGTGTATTGAACTTGATGGTGATTATGTAGAAAAATAAAAATATAACTGATTTAGTATGTGTTTATTTTCTTGGTTAGGCCGAGTACTTTTCAATCCACCCTCGTATTATTCCGCTTACCAGATGTCACTCGTAGACACGAGATGAAGATTTTGTTACAAAATTTCATTTAATTGAGAAAGTAAGTTTTAAATAAAACGTTATAAGTTTCTATAGTATTATATTGATACACAAAACAATGCCTCAGTGGTTTGATCTTTAATTTTTTGCACATTTTTAACTCTTTTTTTCATTTTTCTACTTTTATTTATATCGGTAATTTGTTTTATTAATTTCTCCATCCATTACAGCCTATAAAAGTCCACTGCTGAACATGGCCCTCTCAAAAAAAATTTGCAAACCGTAGGGGGGATTTTGCCAATTTTATGGCAAAATCCCTTATTAATCTTAATACAGTGGACCCCCGGTAATCCGACAAACATTTTGCAGGGCGGTGACGGACTATCGAATTTGTTCGATTATAGAGTACTGCCTAAGACCCCTATAGTCCGGATTTTTTTACAAAAGATTACCTTGTAATCCGACAAATTACAGATCCAATAATAAGATTCTGTATGTTACTAGCTTGCCAGGCAGACGTTGTTCTTTTCAACGACCCTTTGTCATGTCCTATTAAAAATCCTTAAATTCGCAAAAAGAAATTCATGGGTTACTCATGGGCAAAAAAAACTATCCTATCTAATGATTTCTTATATTTACGCGAACACTATACATTGCTTAAAACTACTTTTACGGATTTTATCGCGTTTTATTTATTTTATTTTTAATACCCGACGTTTCGGGTGCTTTCCAGCACCCATGGTCACGGGGGACTGAGGTGACTGACGTCCCGATGTCAAAGTTAACCCGGAGTACCTTCAGCTTTTTAATTATTGTCTTTGGTCCAATCTACGCAGAATGAACTAACTGTGTATTGAAGTCTTGCAGTGGTATGCTTGGGTTTAGTTTTAATTTTATTAATTATAGGATCCCAAGCAGGTGGTAGTACCCAGCCTCCTTCTCTATTGAAATTAGGATGTTTTTTTAATTTCAATAACCTCACATATCATCCTTGGTAGGAATCGATGTTCTTTCGCGAGGATTTGTGGTCTATCAAATCTGATGTAATGGTTGGGGCCACTTAGGATATGATCGCAAACTACAGACTTCCCGGAACGTTGATGCTTCACGTCAGCTATGTGTTCTTTTACGCGGGTTCTAATTGATCTCTTTATTTGCCCTATATATGAGAGACCACAATCACAATCAAGCTTGTACACTCCTGTATCTTGTAGAGGAATATGACACTTGACGGATGGTAAGAACTGACTAATCTTCTTCGGCGGCTTGTAGAATGTTCTAATAGAAACTCGCTTCAAGATGTAGCCAACCTTGTCTGTGACTCCTCTGACATATGGTAGTACAGCAGGCACACGCTCGACTGTGGCCGGCTTCACTCGGTCACTGTGACGGAGGCGCGGGACCCGAAGCTTGTTGTGCAGAACCTGCTTGACGTGCTGAAGCTCGGCGGCCAGGTGTTTGCTGTCACAGATCCCTCGTGCTCTCTGTAACTCTACTACCTATCTACTATCTTTTTTTTTAAAGAATATTAACAATGCTATAAACATTCCTAATATTCCCCCCTTAGCCACTCGTGGTAAGCTTAAATTGCTTGTGTTACGAGTGGTTCACGCCAGTAGTCGAATAGCGGATTCGAACCCACAACCTTTTTTGAGTTCGCGGTTCGCGCCCTGCCATGAGGCTACTGTCGCTTCAATCTTATCTCTCAAGTTGGACCAAACTGCACACGGTGTGCAAATTTGAGTACGATCGGTTAAGTAGTTTAGGAGTCCATCGCGGACAAAGAACGTGACACGTAATTTATATATATTATAAGATATATATCCTATACCTTTAAACGAGCAGTTCTTGTATATATATATATATATATATATATATATATATATATATATATATATATATATACTAGATAATATATATTCTATTCTATTATATATGTGGCCGTGGAAGGAAAAGGAGAGAGAGGAGTGTTCTGCCCGGGGAGCGGCCAACACTCCGTGTGATAGTTTGGAGATGTTCTATATATGCTGTTTATGATTCGGAATGTTGATAGCGTGATTTAGGCTTCGGTATGTTTCGCTTGCGGCGCGACGACAGCGCCGCCACATCACCCCCCTGCTCAGACCGGAGGTCGATAGTGCAGTCAGATTGCCGGTGTGTCCTTCAATGCCGGTAGGGAATGCATGCTGTGTGCGTGAGGGCAAGTGATACCGGTGCGAATGATATGCCGATGTGTAATGCATGCCGTACTACGCACTGGCAAGTGATGCCGGTGAGAACGATGTGCTGGAGCAAGTGCCAGAAGTCTGCCTTATAAATCTGCGGTGAGTCGAGACGAAGACAAGTTGGACTGGCTTGCAGGAACTGAAGACTGCAGAAGACGATTCTCAGTAGTGAATGGTAGGAGTTCTTGAATAATGACGAAGGCTTGAAGTTGTAGTTTCCGAAGGTGTTTGGGTTGCATGTTCAGATCACGTCGGGGTCACCACTGTCGCCGTGGAAGGAAAAGTGGAGATCTCTCCGCCGGGCAAGGTGTTTGTGTTCTGCCCGGGGAGCGGTCAACACTCTGTGTGATAGTTTGGAGATGTTCTATATATGCTGTTTATGATTCGGAATGTTGATAGCGTGATTTAGGCTTCGGTATGTTTCGCTTGCGACGCGGCGACAGCGCCGCCATATATATATAATAGAATCTCGAAAACGGCTCCAACGATTTTCAAATAAAATTTAGTGTCAGGGGAGTTTCGGGGGCAATAAATCGATCTAGCTAGGTTTTATTTTTAGAAAATGTCTTTTTGTCCGTGTTTTCAGGCAATGAAAAACTGCTACAATATAAGAAGGTAAATTTTGACACTATGTTAATGTTAACGATCGTAATGGCTCAGATGGATAGCGAGCGGTCGCGAAATCGTAATTCCTTGGTTCGCTTCCCGTCTTCGGTCCGATTTTTTTCCCTTTTTTTTTCATGTTTCCTTCTTTTGTGAGAAAATCTATTATTTCGAGCCCTTTTTTCAGTATTTTTTTCAAAATACGTAAATTTTAATTAAACTAATTGCACTCATGATTTCTTATTCAAATAACCAGTTCAGTTTTTTCTATTATGTCAATAAGATCAAAAATTCATCAGTATGTAATTTGTATCTAAATGTAATTTCCAAAAAAAAAACAGTGCAAATCTCGGTCATCCGGGTACTGTACCTCTGAAGTACTAAAATACTTCATTATGTAAGTTAAATTTAGTAAATTAAATAACACAATACATAGCTTAGGTTTTATTATAAAATTAACGCCATTTAAGCTTACAAAAAATATGGAATAATTTATATTAGGAAATAATTGTGTACAAACAAAAGTACATTGTACATACTAAAATAATCAAAAATTATGAATCAATCAATTTCGTAAATACGCTTTTTGAGGAAAATTATGATTTTTTAACCACTTTCAGAATCAAATTTTTCTATCAGAATCGAAACAATACCCTACGCGTCGAGCACAATAGTTGTGGGGCGTACAAGTTATAACTTGTTCAATCATGCATTAGCAATGATTGTCAAAAAAATATTCAATAATAAATAATGGACCACGTCGGATTACAGGGGGTGCCGGATTAAGTACCGGGAGTCCACCGTAATATAAAATATAACTTAACAGAAAGGAAAATTAACCGTTACATTTTCCCAATAAATTCTTTACCCGCTGTGATATCTGTCAAATATGATCGCAAACTGCAACTTCGTTCCAAAGTGGCACCGCACCGCCCTGGTGGGAGAAAAACCCGTGGATGCTCTCATTGTAGGTATCAACTACCCTATTACCACAAGTCACTTATTTCAGGAGAGGACCTGTCTCCGCGCGTGGAGCTGGGCGCGGAATGCCGTGAGCTTGTGTCGCCGTCTCTGCCGATGACACCCCTCGAGCATATTGATGCGCCCAGTATGTATTCTTTATATATTATTCAATTTATATTTTTAATGTTTGGTGTATATAATATATATTATATATATATATATATATATATATATATATATATATATATATATATATATATATATATATATATATATGTACACATACACTGGATGACCTTTTTAGGGTCTGGAAAAAAATAGCGTCTAACATGTGAACGGAGTAAAAGCCTATGGCACTGATATTTTACAAAAAATTTAAAGTTAAATTTTGAATGAAATAAATGAATTAATTAAAATCTATCGCAATTCAAATCATATCCACTCTACTTTACGAACGGCAATAAAACAATAAATTTTGTAGGCATCTTTGACCTTGTCACTTCGCAGGCTTACAGGCTAGGGTGGATATAATTCGAATTTCGTTTAATATATTTCTTTAATTAAAAATTTTTGTTTTTTATTTTTCCCACAAAGCACAATCCTTATCCAGCTGCATCCATCGAATCCCGCATGTCTTACCAGGTCATTACTACATCTAGTTTGGGGCGCCCTATATTTCATCTGCCGGTACGGGGCTGCCACTCAAGAACCATCCCCACCGGTTGTCGGTTCTTCGTACTATATGGCCGGTCCATTGCCACTTCAGCTTAGTAATCCGTTGGAATATGTCAGTTAGTCTGGTTCTACTGTAGATAAACACATTTCCAAGTTTATCACGCAGATAAACCATGAGCATAGGCCTCAGTACAGCTCGCGGAGCGACCTTGAGCTTCATCATGCGGCTATGGCTATTAATAACTTTAATTTATCCGGGTTATGATTTCTCATATTTACGCGAACACTACACATTGAAATAATACTAGTTTTTACGGAATTTATCGCGTATATTTAACTTTTTAAATACCCGACGTTTCGAACGCTTTACAGCACTCATGGTCACGGGCGGGACTAAGATGTTCAACGTCCATATGTCATAGTTAACCGCGGTTACCATAGATTAAAAATTTTAACTTTTGTTCCGATCTATGCAGTATGAACTTATGGTATCTTGAAGTCTAGCAGTTGTTTGCTTGGGTTGGGATTTAATTTTATTTATTATAGGATACCAAGCAGATGGTAGCACCCAGCCATCTTCTCTATTGAAATTAGGATGTTTTTTGATTTCAATAGCCTCGCGAATCATCCTTGGAAGGAATCGGTGTTCTTTAGCGAGGATCTGCGGTCTATCAAATCTGATGTAGTGACGGGGGCGATCCTGTACGTGTTCACAGACTGCAGACTTCCCGGAGCGTCGATTCTTCACATCAGCTATATGTTCTTTAACGCGGGTTTTTATTGATCTTTTAGTTTGTCCTATGTAGGAGAGACCACATTCACAATCAAGCTTGTACACTCCTGCATCTTGCAGAGGGACATTACACTTGACTGATGGTAAAAACTGACCAATCTTCTTCAGCGGCTTGAAGTATGTTTTGATGGAAGCGCGCTTCAAGATGGAACCAATCTTGTCGGTGACTCCTCTAACATATGGCAGTACAGCAGGTACACGCTCGACTGTGGCCGGCTTCACTCGTTCACTGTGACGTAGGCGCGGGACTCGAAGGTTGTTGTCATGCAAAACTTGCTTGACATGGTGGAGCTCTGCAGCCAGGTGTTTACTGTCACAGATCCCTCGTGCTCTCTGAAACAAAGATTTACCCACGGTAGCTAACTGTGAAGGATAGTGGTGAGAATCACCGTTTAAATATCTATCTGTATGGGTCTTTTTTCTATACACAGTATGGCTCAAGGTTTTATCAGGATTCCGAATTACTAACACATCTAGAAAAGCTAAGGAATTGTTTGCCTCTAACTCCATTGTGAACTGAATTTTAGAATTTATAGAGTTAAGATGGTCTAAAAATGTAGTTACTTTATCTAAAGGTAGAATTGTGAAAGTGTCATCTACGTACCGCTTGTAGAATCTTGGATTTATGGGAGAACTAAGCAGGGCTTTCTCCTCAAAGTCTTCCATGAATATATCGGCGACAATGGGAGATACAGGTGAGCCCATCGCCACACCATCTACTTGCTTGTAGAACTCCTCCTTCCACAATTGATAGCCAGATGTAAGGCAGTGTCTGAGTAATACTGCATATTCTACGGGCATGTTGTTTTCTTCCAGCCTTCTAGTTACAATTGAGATGCAGTCTTCAACAGGTAAACATGTAAACAATGACTGCACATCAAAACTGACCATAGTTTCATTGTCTGCCAGATGTAGGTCTTTAATCAAATCCTCGCTAAAGAACACCGATTCCTTCCAAGGATGATTCGCGAGGCTATTGAAATCAAAAAACATCCTAATTTCGATAGAGAAGATGGCTGGGTGCTACCATCTGCTTGGGATCCTATAATAAATAAATCCCAACCCAAGCATACAACTGCTAGACTTCAAGATACCATAAGTTCATACTGCATAGATCGGAACAAAAGTTAAATTTTAATCTATGGTAACCGCGGTTAACTATGACATATGGACGTTGAACATCTCAGTCCCGCCCGTGACCATGAGTGCTGTAAAGCGTTCGAAACGTCGGGTATTTAAAAAGTTAAATATACGCGATAAATTCCGTAAAAACTAGTATTATTTCAATTTATCCGGGTTCATTTTCATATAGAATAAGGGTGAACAAAGTGAAGAACAAGCGATCATACAGTCCACCTGACGGTAAATAAATGCTGATCCTTTAAATATCTGCGTATATCTTGGACTAAGAATTAAAATGCAGATGTGTTGTCATCCATGAGAACTCATATGGAACGCCTCGTAAAAGTGGCGGTTTGCGTCGCGACAGAGACAGGAGACCAAGACAGGAGACTGAGACGGGAGACTGCGACAAGTGTCCCAGTCTCAAAGCAACAGTTCATTCAGTATCTGAGAGTCTGTCGATGGAGTCAGTTGTTTTGTACATTGTCATTAATTTACACTGTAATGGAAAGCCAAGTAGAATTTCTATTGGAGGTAGAAGAAGATGATGATCCAAATATTGCCCTTTAAATTTTCATCTGTAGGACGTCTACTTGTGCATCGTATATCGGAGGATACTATCTGATCAGTTGAATCAGCTTTTTACAGTCAGAAAAATTGTAATTTTTTACAATTAAACACACGTGCTTTTCGAGCAGGACAAGAGAAGCTACCGGTCAGATGCAGCAACCGTCGCCCAATCTCCTGTCTGTCGCATCATTGTCTCTTGTCTCTGTCTCGCTCGTGAACTGATACTTATACATTGTCTATAGTCAAGGAACGGTCGCGGACTCCTGTCTCAGTCTCTTGTCTCTGTCGCAACGCGAAATGTCACCTTTACCCGTACAGAGGGTCTCTACACTACGAAACATACCATTTTTCTGCTGTTTCACGCTAGTATTCTGCGCGCGCGTGGTCCTGCCCCGGTCGAGCCACTCCATTCGTGTTGCAGTCATAATATAGCAGCAGCACTCTACTACCTATTTTCTAGGGATAGTAATAATTCTTCTGTCGACATAGGGCAAGCGATGACCCTCCTGGTCCCGGATACGTCGTACTCCTCGTCGGAGGGCGAAGACGACTTCTTCGACGCAGACGACGAACCTGCCGACTTGACGCCGCCTGGGCCCAGGTCAGTGGAAACTTTAGATGAATTAATCTTTCTTATGGCATTAAAGTAGATCGATAGCAAAACAAGAACTCGTACTGGTATCAAAAAAGTTTTTTTTTCTCTTTATTTTGGCACAAACATTTAAGGGGATATAGTAACTCAGCTCAAATTCTAATTTCGCGCCCACTTCCCACATGTTTGTAATCACTAATACTGTAAGTAGATATGTCGTTAGATACTTATTTCATTAGGTTTGTCATATTTGTGCCTGTTTCTTTACGCCGGCCCAGTCGCTTCTCGGTTATTTCCCATTTTAATTTTACGTCGTCCTGTTGCGTAATGTGTATTCTGATCGTAAGCGACACAGCTTCCTCGTTTAAAAGCCGAAGCGAGACTAACCGGGCGGCAGGAAATAAGCTTCAAGACGCCGATAGTTGCCGATGTAGATAATTTATTTTTACAGTGAAAATAATGGCAATTTAAAAAAAAAACATAAGCCCTGCTTTATAGTTAGTTCAGTTAGTATGCAAAGTTTCATGATCTTATTTAAAGTATTTTATGAATAACAGCGGTTTATTGTTTATTTTGGAGGTAACTTTGGATTTTTTTTCTATCGAGAAAATTTTACTTTAATGCTGCAATATTTTCGGCATAACGGAGGATCTTGCTAAGCCATTTGAGATAGTATTTTAATATTTTCTCTTAATTGTTACTATGCTAGTTACTAGAAACTTATTTCCGCAGATACATATGAATGTAGTTCAAAAAGATCTGAAAAAGACCTTTATTATTTGTTCCCCCTGAACTATAATATCATATTTTAAAGCGCGTTCGGATATTATGTATAGAGTGAACCAAATGAATAAGCATAAAATTAAATAAATATGAAAGTAATATAAATAGTAAAAAGTGAGGTGCGGTATGCCGCAGCCCAGAGCTGAGAAAGTATTTGATGCGAGGCCGAACTTGCACTTTGTAAATTTGCTAGTGATGTGCCGACATGAAATACTGTCCCGCTCTGCTGTGCTGAATTAACGCTGGTGAATAGGTTTGTAATCAGAACATACACCGTCTAGCTAGCTCAAGCTTGATGCTCCGATCAGCAAGGCAACTGGTGATCTAACTGCACAATTTCTCGGGAAGCCCATAGTAAAAGAGCTTCGAAAGAAGCGCTTTGTGTCAGACCCGGTCGAAAGCCTTTGCTTTGTCCAAACTAACGGCCAAAGCCCTCCCCCCTGGACTCTCCTGCCTCCGTCCATCTATGAGTTATTTAGATCAGAAGAACACCAACTGATCAACCACGACGAAAACCGTATTGGCGGTCACAAATCAGCTGGTGATCCTCAAGGTACCTCATGAGCCGGCAGTTTTTATTGGACTCCATTATTTTGGTGTACAAGGAGATGAAGCCTTTGCTTTGTCCAAACTAACGGCCAAAGCCCCCCCCCCTTGGACTCTCCTGCCTCCGTCCATCTATGAGTTAGGTAGAGCAGAAGAACACCAACTGATCAACCACGACGAAAACCGTATTGGCGGTCACAAATCAGCTGGTGATCCTCAAGGTACCTCATGAGCCGGCAGTTTTTATTGGACTCCATTATTTTGATGAACAAGGAGATGATGGCGATAAGCATGTGCCTTTTTTAGCGATCGAATGGACCAAAACTGCCTTCCATGTATTCGGGACTACGTCTAGGGCGAAAGCCTACCGAAAAAGTCGCGTTAAAACCGGTACCAACTCCTTAGCGCACGTCTTCAGCGTAATGGGAGGGACTCCATCAGGCCCACTCCACTTGCTGACGTCCAAGGAAAGGAGTGCTTTACGAACCGAGCGCTGTGTGAGACGCACATGGCGCATGGTGCACTCACACCGCGAGAAGGTCGGCGGTGTATTCCCACGTCATCGAGAGTCGAGTTGGATGCAAAGAGAGGGCTTAACGAATCGGTTTTCTCCTTTGCGGCATGGGCCAGCCAGGATGACTCGTCCTCTCTATGCAGAGATGGCTGACAGAAGATCCCTTGGACAGCCTTGGCGAGAGACTTGAGAATGCACGGGTTCGCGAAGAAAGGCAAACTTGAAATTGAGCCCCATTTTATGTAAAGATATCCACCAAAACATAATGTCATCGAATGCCATATAAAATAAAAATTACATCACTACACAGGTTGTTTTATTTCATTTGATTGTGACATTAATGTAAAACCCTGTACATACACTCGAACACGTACCAGCTAAAAATATCCGTCCGACCCACAAAAAGCTACTTTTGAGATTTTGACTTTTGAATTTTTGTGAGTGATATAACTTCTTATTACTATAACATCTAAGAAATTATTTAATTTTATCAAAGTGTAGACCATAAGTATTATTTTATATAACTCTTTCTTGATTCAAGAGTGGGTTGAAAGACCATCAATATAACTAATAAGGCAAATATAATTCGATAAACGATAATCTGAGAGGAACATGGCCGCACATAAAGAATTGGTCTGTTCTAAAATAAGTACTGTTTGTTAATTTATTCGTTACAGCACAAAATAAACACCATAACAATCTTTATTGTAGTTAAATTTAATTAAAAAAGCCCTGATAAGCCTCAACTACAGTTGCGTCCAACAGTGCAAAAACACAACAACATTACATAGTATAAAAATAGTAACAGTATAATAATATTGATGATTAAGATTAATTTTCAACACGTTGATAGTAAAGACATAATTAACAGATAAGGTAACTGTTATTTTTTCGATGTTTAATAACTTTTAGAATTTATGATGATGGCATCATAAAAGTTCCGTGGCATCAACATAATTCGTCGTTCGCAGTCCGTTTTGGAACTTTTGAATGTATTTTCTCCTTGTGTTGCTGAAGGTAGGTCGATATCTATGACTCAAATCAATCTGAACATAAAATCGTCCTTGACGAGGAAAGTTTTATGCAACAGCCACTCTTGACAGGCTCATACAGCAGCCGCCTCGGAACTTACATGTTCATACCTCTCCACTACTTAGATGATTTTGCACCATCATCATCTATCTTTTCCTTTTTTCACTTTTTTAAATAAACCAAACTAAGATTTTCTTGTGTTCTGTGGAGACAGCTTGCAACATCGATATAAATGACAAGATATGATCGTGGGCTCGTGGGAACAAAAATTTTTCACGGTTTAAGCATAGAATACATCAGCGCCATCTCTTACTCGTGAACTACCACGGAACCAGTGTTTCCACTTATCATTTTGGTTTTATCTTAGAACCTGTAGAAATACTGCCTAAATTAGTGTAAAAAAATCTAAATAGCCTTATTTACACCTAATTTTCAATATTTTAAAGAACGCCGTAATTGCAATTTTGAATATCATTTCACAATAAAAAAAAATATAGAAACTTTAAAACAAAAAAAAACTCTTGGGTTTTGTGATGAGGGAGACGTTCTCATTTTTAAATTATAATAACAGTGTCTTATACGAATAATGATAAATATATAATAATGAATATTTAACTAAGTAAAATATTATACCATTATTCCGATATACAGAATGAAAAACTTTTTCATTCTACACTATTCTAGGCTCTTTTGACCCGATCCCCTTCGATAAATCTTTAAAAAAAATTACATTGGGTGGGTATTGAAAACAGGGTTACCTGAAGTTCGATTTCACCCAAAATTATCCAAAACCTGTCAACTTGAAGAAACGCCTAAATCCTAGTGTAGGGTAACGTTTTGAAAACAAAAAAGAAAAAGCCTATCAAAGTCCGGTGCTGCATAAAGGCCTCCTCACAAATTGACTCACAAGGAGAATATTTGTCATAGTTGCCACGTTTAGCAGTCAGGTTTTTTTAATTTCCGGGCTGTTGGTGTCCATTTCCTGGTTTGCTTCATTATGTCTCCTCTCACGACACCTGCGAGAGGATGTCACGGTATAGTGAATATTCTCACACCGCACTACACGATCAACCTATATACGTAGATTTACCATAAAATACTGCAATATATCTAAAAAGTGGAAACACTGAACGGACGCACGGCACGCATAGGAGCCCGCGTTGGTGCTCCATAAACATTTTAGCACCAATGAGTCGGTGCCATTTTGTTTGTTCAATGACCCGGACCATACGCAGTAATATAATAAGTTTCATTTCATTTATTTATTTCGTGGATCATAGGTATTACATAGATGTTAGGAACATAATTATATAATCAAGTTCATTGATAGAATCAGGCCTCTACACGAGGCATCCTCGGTGATGACTCTACGGCGGCTGACCGCTAAGGATCTTAGCGTATATACGACTAGCTAAGGATCTTAGCGGTCAGCCGCCGTAGAGTCTACATCACCTGAGGATGCCTCGTGTAGAGGCGAAACACGTGTCGTATTGTCGTCGGTGGTGTGTCTTACCTGGAATAGTGGTGGAATTATTTTAGGCCATACAAATAATTGATTCGTGCGGGATTCGAACCGTAACTTAATTGCTAAGCCTCTGCACCACTGAGCCATTCAATTTGCAGATTATTATGTGTCACGTAGAGAAAAGATTCGTAAATACTGCCTTTTTTAATTTTGTAATTATCATCATTAACCCCTCACAAATCCTCTGCTGAACCCAGGCCTAAGTTAATTTGATTTTGCACAACAACATCCGTCTAGTTTTCAACCCGGGCCTACATTTTCAAACTAGTAAACGCTGTTGCTTTTTTGTAAAAACGTATGCGATACCGTCCGTCATTGTTGTTCAGATGATACTTACAGTTTTTATGCAACGATACGCTGGCACTGTTCCAGATAAACGGTTTGAGAGCATTATAGATGGCGGTGGTGCGATAGCAATTAAATAATAAATAACATTATGTTAGTGCATATAGAAAATATTACAGAAAAATACGGTTGACTCTGCCGGCCATCCCTAAAACTTCCCGCTTATTTTCGAGCGCAACGCTCTAAAATCTATTACTTAAATTATTGTTTTTTCGGTTTTAATTTTTTAAAATTTTTGAAACGGCTTGATCGATTGACTTGAAA